TCTCCATTCCCACGTGTTATAATCCCCTCATTTCCCTATCTTCCACACCTACCTGAAATGGTATGATCTTTCTGAATTGAAAGTCCACTCTATGGAGGAGGATGACCAAACAGACAGGCACAGCGGGGCGATTGCGGAAGCTCTGCCGGAGTTCAAGAGGAACTCTGGAGGCAGGGAACTGTGAGGTACGCGTCACCTATTCCATTCCCGTACACCCTTAAAGGCTACAACCTTCTATTGGACTGCTAGTATGGCTGTGTAATATACTGTTTGTGTTTTCTTCAGGATTAAAAGTGTATTAAACGGAAAAAAGTTATATGATTGAAGTAAGAACCTTGCCTGAAGTCAGGAAAGGAATCTAGGAGAACCGAGAAGGAACCTAGTCTGCTTGGTTTGATAAACAAAGTCGTGTGATGGAGACTCTCGTTGGGTCGTCACACAACCTGCATGAACTTATTAAAATAAATGATGGGGTACTCCCATGCAAAGTACCCTGTCATTCACCCGGCTAAATAAAGCGTTGATGAAATGTTTGTTTGGCTCCAACGTTGGTGACGGGAAGCTACCGTGCGGTTTCTTTATTACCTTACAAGCTAGATCTAAGAGGTAATCCGGTACTCCCGTGGGGTACATATCTTCAATGACTAATATAAGCGAAGGTAGTAGGAGGCTCCTGTGGGGCTCTCCTATCGCTGATCTGACTTGACTTGTAAAGGAACTAAGTACTCACCGTGTGAGTACACGAACTCCTGAGTCTGGGACGATCTGTCCGGCTTTCCGTAGGAGTCGGCATACCTTTCGCTCATCTACGATGCATGGGCAAGGTAAGTAAACGGTCAGGATAACTTAACTAAGATTTGTTTTGACTGATATCCTACTTATCAAACTGGTAGTAGGATAACTCCCGTGAGGTGATCATAGTACTTGTTTGATTTCGGGGTCAACTAACGCGAGAAAGGAATGAGGTGATTGTGTTTGGACAGTAAAGGGATACTCCCGGGTGAGTAACCCTACTACTTGTTTGGGTATGACTGATGGATGATATGAATAAATGTTAACGATCTATCTATTTAACATTGAAGCAGGATATGAGAGGCCTCCCGTGGGGTCATCCTATTGCTTGCTTGACTCTATCTTAAAAGGTCTAATACGATATTCCAGCAAAGGGAGGATCTAATGTTTGTCTGAGGTTACTAACTTAATCCTAGCTCGTATGACTCTGAGAAAGTTGTAGAGTGACTCCCGTGGGGTCATCCTATTACACTTTTCCGAGAATAGTCTGGGTTTTAATCAAGGAGTAATAGGAGGCTTCCGTGAAGACCACCTATTACCAATATGAATTTCGTATTGATACCTAGATCTGGAATGTGTTTGGACATTGGAACAAGTGTTGAGATGCTTCGACAAGGCCTTCTCAACTACTTGTTGTAATAAAGGGATACTCCCCTGTGAGTTATCCCGTCGCTTGCACAAGATTGCATGAGGACTGCATGGACTTTGAAGAGTGGTTGAGTGCTCCCGTGGAACTACTCGACTACTTATCTGACTAACTGTTTTGTCTGGAATTGATCAAGGAGTGGAAGATTCCCGGATGAATCAATCTACTACTTGCGTATGTCCGAACAAGACTGGGATCATCAGTGATCGTGATCCACGGTTTCTCTCACAATTCTGGAAACACTTTTTCAAAGCATACGGAAGCACGCTCAAGTGTAGCATTGCATTCCACCCCCTGACTGATGGACAAACCGAGAAGATGAACGATATTCTCCAAAGAATCCTGCGGAAGTATTGTTATCCACACCAACACGATTGGGATCAGTTGCTCACAGCCATCGAGATCGCCATCTTCCCTTCCACTGGCATGTCCCCGTTCTACCTCGACCTTGGCAACCATCCTTGCTTGCCCTCTGACTTCTTGCTTCCTTCACAACTCAACCCCTCCACCCCCTGCCCTTCTCTCAATGAATGGGTAGCAACAATGAACCGATTCTTCAAAGAAGCTACCGAAACCCTTGAACGGACACAAGAACAACAAGCCAATAAGACTAACAAGCCGAGACGTGACGTGTCATCAAAAAAGGGGACAAAGTCTGGCTCTCCGCCAAAACGCTTCGAACCCGAATATGGCTTGTCCAAAAAACTCTCGAACAAGTGGCTCAGAACCTTCCCCATCATTAAAAAAAAACTCCCCCGTCAATTACAAGCTCCAACTCCCTCCTGATATGAGTCGTGTCCACTCTGTCTTCCACGTAGAATACCAAAAGAATACCATGAATCCCCACTCCAATTCGCTGACCGCCCATATCCTCGACCACCACCAGTCATGTTACCCACAGACCCTGAATTCGTCGTCGAAGCCATCATCGGGTAAAAAACTACTCAGGTATCTGACCACCCTGAACCAATCACAGAATACAAAGTTAAATGGACAGGATACCCTGACGAAGAATCCACATGGGAACCTCTTGCCAAGCTTAAAAATGTCATAAAACTTGTTTGCGCCTATGATCACTCCCATCCTGTATCCTAGCTACCCACTATGCCTAAACCCTGCCTAAACCCTACCTAAACCCTGCCTAAACCCCGCCTAAACCTTGCCTCAACCCTGCCTCCCTCCCTCTATCTGATCCGCTCTTGCCTTCGTCTCGCCCCGTTCTCCCATATGTCCTATGCCACATCTTTGTCCCTCCTGTCCAAGTCCTACATGTGGCCCCTGCGCGTTGCCGGCGATAACGGATCTAATAGCCAGCGCACGATGATGATGGCATGCTGCAGCTTAGTACGTGGAAATAAGACAGCTGGTTGGCCACCATGTTGTTCCGTTTGGCTGACACCTTGGACTCGCAGACTTCTAGAGCAGCACCTCTAACATGGACATCAAGATCAGTCTGCGACCTGCTATCCGGATCAGACCTCATCATTAGATCGTGTATCGGACGCAACCTACTACTGTGACAATCAAGTTGAAGCCCTCGCCGTCTACATCACAAAACTGCTGAAGACTGCTTCCTCACCACCACTTCTGTGACACCCTCCAAGACCTTCCTCAAGACATTTTTTCGCTTTTGACACTTTGTTACAGACCTTAGACGTTGTTTTCCCAGACCCCTCAGACACCCCAACACTTGAGCATTGATTCCCTCATCCCTGTAGAACCTCAATAGGATTACCCTGTTATTTGTGCATTGATTCCCTCATCCCTGTAGAACCTCAATAGGATGACCCTGTTACTTGATCATTGATTCCCTCACCCCTATAGAACCTCAGTAGGATTACCCTTTTACTTGAGCATTGATTCCCTCATCCCTGTAGAACCACCATAAGATTACCTTGCCTCTTGAGCATTGATTACCTCTTTCCTTTTCTGACCAGTGATCGGCCCCATTGTCGAGCGCATCGGTCCCGCACTACGCAGGGCGGGACCCTCCTGGCCGCGTAACGCAGGAGTTGGACTATTCTTCGTCGCGATACACATGGAGCTTCCACAAGCCACTCCGGCCGAGTGCGCCAGCCATACCTCTCGCGAACCCCTATGACAAGATAGGGCCAATGCGAGGTACAACTTTACCTCCACCTGCGGGAGTTGTCACCTCCCTTCGGTGGACGTATTCCCGTCGAGCTACCAGTCTACAGTACAAAAGTTAATCAGTTGCAATCGCAGAGGTGGACCAGCCGAGGGTGTTTCTCGTATGTTGTAGCATAGGGGGTACGCGCGGTCTTACGCCTCTATCGGACCCGCACGCGAACCAACGCACTGGGGGGGCTGAAGTCCCGAGCACGACTTGTCGTCGGTCGATTTGGACGCATCGCACATACCACGCGTTACACCACAATATTCACACACATGGAACGACACAAAACAAACAACACAACAACAATCCTAGTCTTTTTTTGTAGCCATCTCATAACCTTCCGACGCAAAAATCGGATATGCGACACGCGCGAGACTTATATAAAACCGCGCAAACGCATAGTCTTCCCATATCGACTAGCAATGCATAATTACACAAGCAGTCACAATGATGGCGTACTATGTAGCGCCCATAATCAAGCGGTCCCCCGTGGATCCGAATACCGCTTATGACACTCAAGTGTCAATCTCGAGGTATCAGGAGGGTCGACCCCTTCACGATATTGCACGACTAAAGGAACAGTCGTTCGGCCCCCGCGGCACCATCGGCCCTTAGGCTGAGTGTCCCTAAGGGCAAGGCAAATAGGCTCTGCGCGGGGGGTGATTACTTCCACACGGAATCTAGGACCTGGGGTGTCCTGGACAAGTACCTCGAATCCAGGCCGAGGACCAACGTTCGACTAAGAAAGTTTAAGAAGCAAATTGGTGAAAAGAAGGGAGCATTCTCTTTCAATCACAACCTTATTTAAACTTTAAGCGCGGACACCATAGGCCGTGTGAACACTCAAACACAGGTATGTACGTATATATATTTATAGAGGGGAATGAAATATGTGACGATCACTTCTCACAATCCTAGTAGGACTCCTCTCAGCCATTTATATGTATGCGATCGCAGGCCGTCAACTCCAAAGTCCGAACCACAAAACATACCTGCAATCACATCAAAGAATCGACCAAAAATCCACACACTACACAGGGTCAACTCACTCGCGGTTAATGGTCCCGAAAATCTTCGGGGAATCGTTCAGTGAAGCTTGCAACGAATTTTACATGAATTCGCTAAAGAATTAGATTTTTTCTTTGCGGAAGGTTTTACGAGGTTCGTCTTTCGTCAATAAAGTGTGTGTGCTCTTTAAGAACAAGGGTTATTGATGTTTTCCTTCGTTGACGAATTGGTGTTGATTGATAACATCATTTGACAATCTTTTTTTTCTTCGGGAAACCTCGCCGTTTTTATGGGCGTTCACTCATTAACTTTCCCTAAGGCTTTGCCGAACATTACATTTCTTTTTCTTATTTGTTTTCTTCGAGGACTTAACCATATTTGGGGGTGTTCACTCATTAACCTTCCCTGAGGTTTCAACGATGATTACAATTTTTGTTCTTCTTCGTAAACTTAGTTGTAAGTTGCGTAGCACCCCGTTCGCCCAAACGAGAACGGGCTCCGAAAATCAACGAACGCGAACGTTTTTTTTTTTTTGTTTTTTTTTGTTTTTTTTTTTAAGGGGTAGGGTAAGCATGGGTGGTGTCCCCGCTGCGTAGCACCCCTCCCTCGCTGCTTGTCCGGCTGCTGATCCTCCACCTGCTGCTCCTCCCCACGCGGCTGAGTCTGGGATCATAGTCCATATCGTGTGCCTCGAACATACGGGGCGTCCTCTCTCCTCGTCCAAGACCTATCGGAGTCCGACCTCTGGTCCACCCACTCCTCGTCGGGAATGTCATCCTCCACCTCCTCCTCATCCTCATCCTCGGCGTCAGCCTCCTCGTTGTCCTCCTCGTCCTCGACCTCCTTCGCATGCCCTAATCTCTGCATGGACCTCGATGTCGATGGCCCAGCTGGATCGTGGCGAACAATAGTGCTGCCCACCGCAGAACTGGCGCCCCCAACAGCAGGCTCGTAGTCATCAACGGCCTCGATGGCATTCGCCAAATCACCCCCCAGGTCCTCGTCCTCCCAGTCAGCTGAGAGCCTCAACCACCCTCCTGCTATCATGAGGCCCTCATCCACCCTGCTCTTGAGCCTCAAACTCCAATGTGAGGACACCAATTTGTTGGTGCGCTGGTGGTGCAACTTGTTCCTGCACTTCGTCTGCACCGGAGCCCAAGTGCTCCAGTTCCTCTCAGCAGGAGAGGAAGTCGTCCAGATCGACAGCACCTTGATCGCCAGCTCGCGGATCTCTGGATGCCCCGCCCCGTGCGCCTCCCACCACAAAACCGCATTGTCCTTCGTAGCCCGTTTCTTCGCCTGTGGGGTGCCGAGGACTCCTCTCCCGAACAGGAAGTCGTAAAGTTGGTCCATACACTCGTCAAATCTGGTGCTTCCCTTCTTTCCAATGAGCCTCTCAACCACACTCTCAAATTGTGTCATGAGGTTGACATCACTGAATACAGTAATGTCCCTCAACTGAGGATCCAATAGGCGAGCAACAATGTGGATGGGGCTGAGCAGCATGTTTGTCCTGTTCCCGACGTCCCTGAGAATGTCGTCTCACTGCTCTGCGGTAAGAGGGGATGATCGGACGAAGCCGGGCAGTCGACAAGCCATATCGTAAATGCGTGACAAGCAGTGGACAACTTTGTCCACCTCGCGCAACACGTCATAGGGCCTCTTCATGACGGCAGTCAGCTTCCTGACGTGAGCCCAAAAGGACCTGTCAAGAACTGTTTCCTCCACGAAGAAGGCCTTGGCCCTGATGTCCCCTCGCCACACCTCCGCCTCCCACTCATGCCCTGCGACAATCCGTCTAATGGCCTTCTCGCAGACCTCCAGCCGCTGCAGCATCACGTAATGCATCCCAAACCTCGTCTGCGCCGGTCGGAGGAGGCAACTGGATTTCAAGTCCGGGAACTTCACAAGTGTCGTTCTCAGCGTTGATCTGGGCCACATGTTAACCCGGAAGAAGGTGACCACTCTGTTCGCCTTACTGATGATCTCGGCCGCCCACTCCTTGCAAATGTCGTGCATGAGGGGGTCCATGCAGTGAGCGGTGCAAGGGATCCAATATATCTGGTTGAACTCAAGGTTCTCCCTCGGCATCCTCGCAACACTCGTGTTGCCTGCAAAAGAGTCCGTGCAGACAACCGTGATCTTCTCCACCCCCCACTCCCAGAAGAACCGCTTCCATCCGGCAACGACGGCTACAAAGTCCTTGTCCCCCTCGCTAACATTCTCGCACTTGATGAAAACAGGCTTCGACCGGCCTGCGAGGATGTAGTTCATAAGCGATCGACCACAAATGTCTGTGGTCCCATCGGTTATGAACGTGCAGCCTGTGACCTGCCAGTCATCACGGATCGCCTGCTCCTCCTCCTGCAACCTCTTGTTAAGGCGATCCAGCAACCGACACCTGAGAGGGTTGTACCCAGTAGGCACAAGAGGGTGGCTTGCTGCAGGTTGTGGTCCGTAACACGCCCGCGTGAACTTCTTGAAGCTCCTGCTCTTGGCGACATTGAACGGGATCGCGTTCTCCACGAAGAACTCACAGCAGGAGTCATCAATCTCCTCCTGCCTTGGGTTCTTCGTGTACCTCTTGATGCTCATCTGCCTCCCTGGCCTACGTGTGCGGGCGACCTGCATGACAGCCTGCGAGGACCCAGGCCTCCCTCCACCATCGGATCCTCCTGTCACAACACCCCTCGTCCCCTCTTCCAATCCCTCCTCGCCCTCCCCACCACGTGGCTCCTTAGGCTGATCAGCAATCCCACCTCCCCCCCCTTTGCTAGCAGGCCCAGCACCTGCCACGTAGGGAACGTCGTCGTCGTCGTCATCCCTCTCCTGCTCCAGCGCCATCTGCACCCTCGCGAGCAAATCCGGTGGCAGCTGTGCACCGATGCGATGCAGCCTCTTCCAAATGGAGAGGTTCGAACCCGAACACTTGGCTGACGCCCTCGCCAAAATGAAGTGCTCCCACGCACGCTTCTGGTTCCCTTTGTACTCCTTGTTGCAGATCTTGCAGCGCAGCCTTCTCGACCCGCGAGAATTGCCCGTCAGCATCATGCCCAGGAGTCACCCAACTCCACACCACGTGGTCCCTTGGACAGGTCATGTCCTCCTCGAATGGCTCCTGCTGCTCCTCGTTCCCTATGTCACCCGACAACAGACGCAGTGGGCGGGGATGTGGGGAGCGTGATCGTGGGGCTGCTACCGTGGGAAGTGATGATGTGGCACCTTCTCACATGGCAGCTGCCGACGTGGCGGTTGCTGATGTGGCAGCTACTGACGTGGCAACTGCTCTGTCACCTGCTGACATGGAGGTCGCTGACGTGGCGGCTGCTGGGCCTTGTCTGCTGACGTGGCGGCTGCTGTGTCACCTGCTGACGTAGCTGCTGTTGTCGAGGGACCTGCTGACGTCGCTATTCTTGACATGGCAGCTGCACATCCTCCGGCGGTCGTGGCAACTGCGGTCCTGCGCATGCACGACGCTGTTCACGGGTGTGAGAAACGGAAACATGTAAAAAAAAAAAAAAAAAAAAAACACATGGAGGACGACGACAGGAGGAAGAGCAAGAAGAAGATGAAGAGATGGAGGATGAGGAGGAGGAGGGAAGAAGATGAAGGAGTACAAGAAGGGAGAAGGACAAGGAGAGATGAATGAGAAGAAGAGGATATGGAGGACGAGGAGAAAAGAAGAAGAAGTACAACAACAAGAGGAGGAGAGGAAGAAGAAGATGGCGAGAAGAAGAAGAAGAAGAGGAGGAGGAGGAGGAGAAGAAGAAGATGATGATGACGAAAGGAGGAGTAGGAGAAGACTATGAGGAGGAGGAGATGAAGAAGATGACGAAGAGGAGGAGAAGAAGAAGAAGAAGAAGAAGAAGAAGAAGAAGAAGAAGAAGAAGAAGAAGAAGAAGAAGAGGAGGAGGAGGAGAAGAAGACGTTGATGAGGAGGATGAGATGACGAGGAGGAGGTCGAGGCGGAGGGAAAGGTGAAGATGTCGAAAGGAGGAGGAGGAGGAGGAGGAGGAGGAGGAGAAGGAGGAGGAGAAAACGAAGAAGAAGAAGATGATGACGAAAGGAGGAGGAGAAGGAAGAGAAGACGACGAGGAGGAGGAGATGAAAAAGATGACGACGAGGAGGAGAAGAAGGAGAAGAAGTAGAGGAGAAGAAGAAGTTGATGAGGAGGAGGAGAAGAAGAAGAAGACGATGAAGAAAGGAAGAGGACGAGGCGGAGGAGGAGGAGGAGGAGGAGAAGGAGGAGAGCAGCAGCACCAGCAGCAGCAGCAGCAGCAGCAGCAGAAGAAGAAGAAGAAGAAGAAGAAGAAGAAGAAGAGTATGAAAAAAGAAAAGAAAAAAGGTCGCGGGTCTTGACGTGGCAGCCGCGCGACGACAACGAACATAACGGGGAAGACGACGAGGAGGAGAGGGAGAAGAAGATGGGGAAGAGTAGAGGAAGATGGAGAGGACAAGAAGAAGAAGAGGAGGAGGAGAAGAAAAGGAGGAGGAGGAGGAGAAGAAGAAGAAGAAAATGATGATGACAAAAGGAGGAGGAGGAGAAGACGAGGAGGAGGAGATGAAGAAGATGACGAAGAGGAGGAGAAGAAGGGGAAGAAGAAGAAGAGAAGAAGAAGTTGATGATGCGGAGGAGAAAAAGATGAAGAAAGGAAGAGGACGAGGCCGAGGAGGAGGAGAAGAACGAGAGCAGAAGAAGAAGAAATTGGAGAAAGAATGAAGAAAATGAAGAAAAAGAAGAAAAATATGGAAAAAAAAATTAAAAAGGTCTCGTGTGCTGATGTGGCAGCTGCGCGACAGTGACGAACATGACGGGGAGGACGATGACGAGGAGAGGGAGAAGAAGATGACGAAGAGGAGGAGAAGAAGAAGAAGAAGAGGAGAAGAGGAAGTTGACGAGGAGGAGGAGAAGAAGAAGATGAAGAAAGGAAAAGGATGAGGCGGAGGAGGAGGAGGAAAAGGAGGAGAGCAGAAGAAGAAGAAAGAATGA